GATTGACCAAGTCTGCGCACTTCCTGCCAATAAAGGAAACCGATAAGATGGAGAAGTTAACCAGGATATACATCAAGGAGATTGTGCGACTGCATGGTGTACCAATATCTATTATCTCAGACCGAGATAGTAGGTTCACTTCGCGATTTTGGCAGTCCCTGCAGAAATCCTTGGGATCTAGGCTAGACATGAGTACGGCCTACCATCCACAAACCGACGGGCAAAGCGAGCGCACTATACAAACCTTAGAAGACATGTTGAGAGCCTATGTGATAGACTTTGGTAAAGCGTGGGATACCCATTTGCCGCTGATTGAATTCTCCTACAATAACAGCTATCACACCAGCATTAAAGTCGCTCCATTCGAAGCTCTCTACGGTCGCAAGTGCAGATCACCCCTATGTTGGGCCAAAGTGGGGGATACTCAGATAGCTAGGGGGCAAGTTCCTAATAGCACCCTCACTGGTCCTGAAATCATAAGGGAGACCACAGAAAAGATTGTTCAAATCCGAGAAAGGCTGAAGGCCTCCTGAGATCGGCAAAAGAGTTACGCGGATAAGCGACGCAAACCTTTGGAATTCCAGGTTGGTGATCCAGTGTTACTAAAAGTTTCCCCTTGGAAAGGAATGATACGTTTCGGTAAACGTGGGAAACTAAACCCGAGGTACATTGGACCGTTCGAAATCCTCGCCAGGATTGGTCTTGTGGCGTACAAACTTCGATTACCTCAAGAACTCGATAAGGTACATCCCACCTTTCACGTATCGAACCTAAAGAAGTGTCTGTCCGACGAGACACTTGTAATACCTCTCGACGAGATCGAAGTTAACGAAAATCTCCACTTCGTAGAGGAGGCAGTTGAGATTATGGATCGGGAGGTCAAAAGAACGAAACAAAGTCGTATTCCCATCGTGAAGGTTCGATGGAACGCTAAACGAGGACCTGAGTTCACCTAGAGCGCGAAGACCAAATGAAACAAAAGTACCCGCATCTTTTCCTAAACTCTTAAAGTCCCGGTCAAAGCGTAAATTTCGGGACGAAATTCCCTCTAACAGGGGGATGATGTGACAATAGTCAAATTCGGGTCAAGTCTAAGCCGGACAAGGTCAACGAGTCAAACCGGTCAACTCAATTAAAACCTTGTATAATAGGGTTTGTATTATGTAATTTCTGTATAACTCACTATCTTAATGAGAAAACATCACTTGGAAAGTTCGTGTGTTTAAATTTCTTTAACTTTAGTGCTAAACAATAAACAAGAACAATAAAAGAATGTTGCATACTCATAGGGAGTGTGTAAGATCCTAAAACATGGCATAACGGGGTTTACGGACTTTGCATTTCGAAGCCGGACACTCACATTCATCACACGAAACCGCTCTCAATCGTTTTCACTCTATCTCTTCTTATCGAGAATCTCTCCCAAATCTATCTAAGAAAGTGAAATCTCTCCCAAATATCTCTTTATATGTGAAATCTCTCCAAGAATGTCAAATCTCTCTAAGTATGTGAAATCTCTCCCAAATATCTCTTTGTATGTGAAATCTCTCCAAGTATGTCAAATCTCTCCCAAATCTCTCTAAGAATATGAAATCTCTCCCAAATATCTCTTTGTATGTGAAATCTCTCCAAGAATGTCAAATCTCTCCCAAATCTCTCTGAGTATGTGGAATCTCTCTCAAATCTCTCTCGAAATCTCTCCCAACTTTCTATAATCACTCGTGGCATCCCGACCCTCGAATTTGGCGAAAACAGCCCAAAAACGGAAGTCTACGCGAAAAACGAACCTAAGGAACCGAAACCCCTCTTAGGAACCGAACCCTTCTGAGCCGAAGGCTGCTCAACCGAACCCGAACGTTCGGCACCTTTCGGTTTTGACATCTTCTCTTCTGATGACTAACCGAACCCTCCCTTCTGATGGCTTGCCGAACCTTCCCTTCTGAGGACCGAGGACCGAGCCCTCGCTTCTGACTTCGTACCGAGCTCCTCGCCCCTTCGTTTCCCTCTGTTCATTTCCGGCTACAATCCTCAGCATGGACCGAGCCTCGGCCTAGGGACCGAACCTCGGCCTAGGACCGAGAGGTCTCGCTGGGAATGCTTTTTCTCTCGGTTTTCGACTAAATTCGCATTTTAGGCCCGTTTTTAATTGTTTTAACATGGGATTTTCACCCAAAACTTTATTTTAACATATAAGGACCCTTAACTATTAATTAATCACATTTTTAAGGATAAAACTTTATCCAAAAGAGAGTGGGTGAAATACAAAGGTAGAGTGTTGACTTTACTTATGTCTATGACACAAGCAACCACTCCCATACCCACTCCATGTCACTATTCACCACCAGCCCATCCCTAGTCACTTCATAGGTCCTTTCTCACTATTTACAACTGTTCCCACGTTCTTAGGGCTGGAACATCCATCCTCTCTCCTTACACTTTAATCATTCTCTCATTTTTACCAAGAATCACACTCCAAACTCTCTCATCTTTTTCTCTCTAATTCAAGAATTTCAAGGCATACTCCAAGGCTCTTCTCCTACAATTAGTAAGTATCATCATCTTTCTTATGATTATTACACATCCTCCTACTCAAAATCAAAGATTTCTTACACAAACATCATCACATTCTTGATAGATCTTCGAATCTTCAAGTGATTCTTCAAGTGTTCTTGGGTTGAACACTTCTCTTCTTCAACACTTACCTACTGAAATCACTCAAGGTGAGTTCATACCCCTACATTTCTATGTTTTTCTTAAGTTTTTAGGGGGGGAATACAAGTTAAAACACCAAGAACATAACTAAATTTTTCTAACAGCTTTCATCAATTTATGGTGAAAGCTAAAATGACTACTTGCACATCTCCATACGATTTTTCTACAATTTATGGTGATTTTTACAAAACTGTCTATCATTTCAAACACCAATCCGGACCAATCTGTGATTATGGAGTTTTTCACCCAAGTTGGAGGTCATTAAAAATCCTGATAAAAATTATGAGTAAACTAGACACATTTTGGGAACTCTTAGAATTTACGGATTTAGTTTTCAACTTCGTATGATTTTTCTATGACTTTTCAAAAACAGTGTAGAAAGGTTGAAAATTTGTTAACACCTTATAACTTTCATAACACCTTGTATTATGTTGAGCAAAGTGTACAACGATAAGTTCTAAATATTGAATGTGTTTCCTTGTTAGTTTATCATCATAAACTGAAATATAGTCATTCATGATAAGATTAATCATTCATTTAGAACTCGTATATTAAGCTATAATGAGCATAGTTTATGGATTCATAGCATTAAAGCATTCATAAAAGAATTCTTATACATTACAAGCGTTTTGGATAAACTATAATAGGTATAGTTTATGTATCATTTACTTCTCAAACTTATTTACCAAAGGTTTTCAGTTTAGTTCACGTAAATCTGTTAATGAATAAATTTGTGAGTCATTCCCTTCGGGTTACTTCCAAAGTAACAAAGTCGACAAGTCGTGTAAATTGTAACCAGAGTCTCTTGTAGGGAGAACGTGATAGTTGTGTATAGATCTATATTGGGTTTGACAAACCCACACCAGAGCTGCTTGCAACAGCTAGACCGGCAGGTCTGTGGTGACAAGTGTCATTTAACGGCAACGCCTGAAGAACGTCGCATTACGAGGCCGTCTATGTCAAGTATGGTTATAATAACTCACAGAAAGTATTAACAAACTTAAGAATTTACGAGAATTTCACTAATATCATACGCGTTTATATTGAAATAAACTCACGTTATTTCTGTAAATAAGGAAGATTACTCATACGTTTCAGTCTTTGGATACAAGACTACAATATTCATTTTAAGGAAAATATCGGATTTTTCTGGAATAACTATACAATTACGAGACAAGCTTTTTTTCATAATTATATACAAAAACTTATGAACTCACCAACCATTGTGTTGACACTTTTTCAAACTACTTGTATTCTCAGGAAATCGCTAAACAGGTAACAAAGTACTTTTGAGGATGGGGCGTTGAGGCGTCAAACTTATCATATTTTGACAACATATTGTAATTGATTTTGAAACATGTAATTCAAACAATGATGTAACTCATTCAATTATATATATGTTGGTTGTGTTTACTTTCATCACTATTTCCATTGTTGTTATGATACTACACATGAAGTCCTCCACCCCCGGACGTTTCCGCCATCCTTGGTTTGGGGGTGTGACAAATAAGCAATCTTAAGTTGTTCCGAGAAAATTGTTTTGAAAGTTCAAGAAAGAATTGAACCAACAATTGAATCCTTTGGTTTGAAAAAGGCCTTCAAGACAAAGAGAATATTACAGTATACAAGGAAGGTGATTGTACTCCGAGAGGTTTCGACTCCTAGATATTCGGCATCAAAAAAGAGTCAAGCTTTAGACGTTGCTCAAAGGATAAAGAAGCGAAAGCATGATAAATTTGAGGCTTCATTTGAAAAAGTACTTATGGAAAGTGAGGATGATAGTGAAAGCAATGGATTTGATACTCGTGTTATGGATACTTTTCAAGCATCACCATGAAAGGATTCCCCTTCCAAATTGAATTTCGAGGAGACAAGGATTCATGATGTCCCTGCAAAGGTATATGATACGAGTGCAAACATCGATTCGGGTGATCAGCAAACAACATACATCCTTGAGAATGCGTAAGTCAAACCATCCTGTGTTTTAAGTACCAAGTATGTTTTGGAGGAGGTTTAAACCCTAGACATCACTGTGCACTTATATAATAAGGACACAAATGTCACCATAGATGAAGGGGTGCAAACAAGCGAAACAAAATCACAACATAAATCAAAACCATAACTGTTCTTCCACCACCATCATCACCAATCGTTTCTTTCATTCCAGTTACAACCTTTTCACTCACCTTTCATAGGGTGATGTAAGAGCCTATCACAACACTTTTCTCGTCACAATCCACCGAGGCTGAGAAAACGATTCAAGAGGAAGAGGCTGATGATGATACATCATGGTGTCATTTGTTGATCTTCAACTTGATCATGAGGAGGGAGATATTCTTGATGAGTTAATAATGGTATGTAAGAAATACAAAATCTTGAGCTCTAAAATGATTCGATTTTACAATTATTAGCTGATATCGTAAGTAAGTATTTTGTGAGTTAGGTTGAAGTTGAATACTTGCTTAAAGCTCAAGAGTTTTGACGGAAGACTCGTATTGAAGATCTTGTCAAGCGCAATGATGAACAGGTCGTCTCTCAATCTCGAAATTTCAACAGTGAGATTTCTAAGTTGCCTGATGTTTCTAAAGAATGTCATGAGCTTTTTGTGAAACAAATTGCTGATACAGTCTTTTTAGAGACTCGATTAAAAGACATTCGAATGATGTTGGATACTGAAGTCAAGAAGTTTGATGAGAATTCATACTTGTTACATAAGACGTTGGATGTAGTCGCAGATTCAACTACTAGATTGATTGAATATATCACCGCTTTTAACAAGGATTACTCGAATGATCTTCATGTCAAGACAAAGTAGGATGAGAAAGTCTTTTTCGATGTTGAAGAGTTTTTATCCGATATTAAAGCAATGCTCTTGACACAATCAAAAATTTCTCAAGACTCCATTTCATAAATGGTTTTGAATATCGAGCCGGGTATCAAGGCTAAATTAGATCCAATCCAAAGTTTAGTTCTTCGACTCCGAACTAATGCTTCTCGTCCGATGCACGTTTTTCAAGGGGCATAAAGGGGTTGGTTCATCGAAATCTTTTGGAGAATATACAGGAGTGGTTGTTGGGAATGTGATATCGACTCAAATCCCAACAACTATTTCGATGAAGCCTGTTATTTCATCTTCGAAATGACAACAACTATTGGTTTCGTTACATAGACAAAAGCTCAATTGAAAGGAGACACAATAAATGAAGCCGCAGGAGGCTCAAGCTCAACCCTTGTCAAATCAACATCAAATTTTGCTCCAAAAGACAAAGGGAAAACTATTGAAGTAGTTCAATATGATGAAGAGAATAAAAAGATACAAGCTATCAAACTCGAGAAGCAAAGGAAAATAAGCAGTATCTTGAGACAACAAGCAAATGATCCACCAGGCTTGAACAAGGTTGATCCCAAAAACAAATGGTGTTACGAAACGATTGAGATAGTTGTTATTGGCAAGAATGAAGAGTTCAAGAAAATGCCAAAGATGAGTTTTGCCATGGAAAATTCAGACTTTAATCAACTCGACTTCCCAATCAATCAGAAGCTATTTACTTCTCTATAATTTAAAATAGTAGACAATTTCAATGACAAAGAAGAATACATAAGATTTAAGATTCGCCTTCATGCGGTCTTGGTAAAGAATGAAGAAGAGGTTTGGTCCCCTATGAAGATTGTTAAAGTCATCAAAATAGTGCACGATAACTTGTTCGAATGTCTTCTACAAAAATTTCGTTATATTGTTGTAAGGGCAAATAACATGGTGTTTGAGTTTACTATATCATATTTTTCTCTGATCGATTTGAATGATCTCATCATCGTCACGGAAATTATGAGCAATGTGGATGTAGCAAAGACAACATAGAACAACAAGGACACTTTAGTTAGTGGGTTTGCTCACACCAAGGCCTTTCTTGATAGCTACTATAAATTTTTGCAATCATTGATATTGATCTTACCTTAGATATCAACAAGACATCAAAAGTGCCTCAATATTTACTGAAAAGGAGAATGAATATCATCGAGTTCGAAGACAGTGAGATAATCCATTAACCGTGTGAAGTCGTATTCAAGGGAAAGAACAAGAAATGGGAGCTAACAAAGTTGTTATTCCAAGTCACTGATATTGAGAGGTATGCAAACTCTCATTACACAAATCTCCTAATTCGAATCAACAAGTGCAAGAAGAATGATAATGAAGACAAGGCTGAAATCAGAAAGATCATTATATGTTACATGGAGATTTGAGGGGAACTTTTGCAGACATTGAATATGATAGCTTGACGTTTCGAATTTTCTCACTAAGGGGGAGAATGTTGGGTCAAAAGTATATACTGAGAAGTCGAAAGTTGTCCGTGTCTGTAAGTGTTGAAAGTAGTTTAGTTTCGACATGATATCTATTTACAAGGCAACATAGTTTCGAGATGTCAAGTTTGGCCCTTGTATTTTTTGTTTGTTTGTAGTACCCTATAAATAGGGTAAGTACTTAGAGTAAAGGTATTGGTTCGAACATTGAGTCCTTACATATTGTATTCTCTCTCTTGTACTCTTCAGATATTATATTGAGCCAATCAGATCTTATTTAGATCGTGTGTCTTTTACATGTTTTTCTTAATCAATTGAGCCGTTTATTGATTTCTAACACACATCAATAATTAGGAAAGTCTTAGCATAAATGAAATGCTTTTTATTACTGAATTTATTTATTTTATTTCACTGTAATTTTTAGTTATTAATATTTTAAACAACCCCCCCCCCCCCGCTTTTATATTTTTTGTTATAAGACTAGTATGTGCCTTGCGCAGAGTAGCATTGACTTTTTGGTTGTGTGTGTGTGGATTCGACCTTGCTTTCTTGTGATACCCATTAGTGTAACCAACAACATAATTTTTATTTGTTTAGACGTCAACGACGCGTTTTAACAAATTGGCGTCTTTGTCAGGGACACAGTATTGCTAATATTTTTTATGCCAAGATTTTCATGTACAGGTACACCACTAGAGTTCAATCCAGAAATAGAGAAGACTACAAGAAAACTGAAGAAAGAAGTGGAACTACAAAAATAGTCAACGGGTTCTCCAGCTTCATCATCGTCTTTAGCCTGGTAGAAAATTAACCCACAAGACAATCCATTATGGAATGAACCAGAACCCATTTTTTCATCCTACCCAAGCGCACCAGCATCATCACCTACTCGCAATGCAAAGATACATTACCCACTACCTTCAGAAAAATCTGAAAATATTTAATTGTTCGATTTTGATTCCAACTCTTCCACCACCACCACAACCATTGGGGATACTGTAAAGAGAAATCTCACACGGTGGGCCACCCAAGACGTTCCTCAACAACCTTTATGCATTACTTTCCCTTATGCCTAGAATTTTGAGCTAAAACATGAGTTAATACATCTCATTATCACATTCTAAGGCCTCGAAAATGAAAACCCACATAAATTACTCAAGGATTTTCATGTCATATGTTCAGGAATAAAGTCGCATTCCATCACTGAAGATGAGAAAAATAACAAAGGTTGAAGCTAAAAAAGAGTTATCTGATAAAAATCTGAAGATTTCTAGTCTACTGCACAACTTCTAGATTCAAAAACTTTGACATATTTGAAGAGGTCTCTAGTTAAAGAAAAAGAGGGCGAGTCCATGAAGACCCCAAGTTATACCGATTAAAGAATCCGATGGGGCAAAGTGGAGTCAACGACTTTAAAAAGGGGCAACTTTTCAGGAGGCAACCCGTGTAGTTTTTACTTTTCCTCTTTTCAATAATAGTTGGACGCAACTCCAATCAAGCTTGGGGAAATCAGAAGATCTCCCGAATTGTTGAAATGCAAATTTTTTTTCCGAAAGCTTCGTCAAATAATCAAATTTGTTTGCAATATACCAAGCACAGTCTTTCCTAGTTGCAAACTTATATATGTCATACTGAGTTGTCCATTCCTCTCTGAGCATTGAGGATAATGCTTAATTTTAAGTTTGGGGAGAAGGTTAATCAAAATTTTGCATTTATGTTTAAAAAAAATTTAAAAATCAACTTTTCTGTTAATTTTTTCTTTTCTGCATTACAAAAGAAGAAATAAAAAAAAACCCAAAAATGTTTTACTTTTAGGTTTTAGTTTTATTTTCTTCAATAAGAAATTCAAAAACATAGAAAAAAGTTACATGGTATGTGAAGGTGTAAAATGAAAGTCTGAAAATGACAAGCTTTGTAGTGGTAAGTATAGTAACAGTTTCCATAACTAAGGGATTAAGAGACACCGTAGGCTGCTAGGCCAATTTTTGAACTAATTTTTCGAAACTTTTACGTAGGCTTGGATGCATTTTTGGAGCTTAATTAAGCTAAAACACCTAAGTAAGTTGGAGCCTACGTTAGATTTGTTGGAACCAAAGAGTTCGAGTCCAAAACGTGAATTGAAGGATTACACAATCGTGTTTTTCATTCCACGGTTGTGTTTTTAATTGTGTTACATGTTCACAACTTTTCCGAAACGAAAATCAACTTTTGAGACTTTGAAAGGCTTATACGATCGTGTTTTTCAAAAAACATGATCATGTTTTTGATAAATGAGTCTGAAATAGCAATGTATTTAATTAACGCAAAAATTAGTGTTTGAACTAATTTCTTTTTATTAGCTTTAGATCGTTTTTAGTCATGTCTAGCTAAAAACTCTAGTTTTTTGTTCTGTAAAAGATGAGTGTTTTTATGTGATTAATCATTAGATTTCATTTTTACTTTGTGATTCTATCTAGTGGTTTCAGTTTTATGCTTAGTGAATGTTTGATTTTTAGTTCTTTTCAGACTGGTCACCTGATTACGATTAAATCATTCTAGTTAATCAGTTGTTAATATCCATAATTTTTTTAATAAGTTGGTAATAAGTAACGAGTAACAGTCTGTGTTGGGATTCGACTCTGTTAATAACTGAAAATCACATATTTTCACGCTTCCAAGCTTGTGAGAAGTATTGAATATAGCTAGGAGTTGTAATCAGATCATAATGCTACTTTTCTGACTTGATTAAGAGCATGTTTAATTAGGTTAGTAAAAAGTTAAGGTTAATTGAAAGGTTTGTTTTAGTTAATTAATTTGGTACAAGAGAACTTACTCTTGTTAGTAGTTTTCAGTACCGGCTTAGATGGTACACATCTTAAATAATCAGATCTAGATTGATTGCATAATTAGGAAGGTCGTAGCAGAACTAATACGCATTTTGTTACTGAATTTATTTATTTTATTTCAATTCAATTTTTAGTTATTAATATTCTAAACAAAATCCCCCTTTTTATATTTTTTTGTTATATGACTAGTTTGTGCCTTACGCCAAAATACATTGATTTTAGGTGGTGTGCATCTAGATTCGACCCTGCTATTAGTGCAACCTGGCAATGATTTTTATTTATTTGGACATTAATGACATCCTTTAACAATGGTCTGAAAATAAATTAGTTATTTTTAAAGTCTCATGTTTGCCATTTATAAATTGTTTTATAAGAATATAGTTTTTAGCTTCCCAAACTCAATATTGTCTTCCTCATTGTATCCATTAGTCTAATGTTTATCCTATTTATATGCTAATCAAGTAGAGAAACCACTATAGGAAATTAACAAGATTACAAGATTAACACTAAACTCTATAATATTGAATGGTTATTTCAAAACAAAAGTTGTGGTATACACCTCCTCCGTGTCCACCACCAAGCATTCCTACAACCAACATAGAACATATAAATCACAACATCGACGAATTTGAAAAAAGCTAAAAACAACGCCAACAAATAAATATAAATACCCACATAATAGTTGAAAGTA